CAGCTCTGATGGGTGTGGGCACACGGGGGATAGACACCGATGGGGAAGATCCTCAGGGGTTTGAAGTTCTCCCGGCCTGTGAGCGCCAGCAGGGGACAAAGGCAGTGGACACTGTACTGCGAGAATTGGCAAGGAGCTCTTTATCCCAAACCATCTTCATTTCTTTGTAGAACAGCTCCGTGTTGGGAAGGGAGGGTGACAGAGCCTGAGCGCTGCCCGTTGCCTTGCAGCTGTGGGACCTGCGGCAGGGGCGGGGCCGGGCGGAGTACACGGGGCATTTCCAGACCACCACCTCCTGCGTGTTCCTCCCGCGGGGCGCAGCTCTGGCCCCCAGCATCGCCACGGCCTCATCCGACGGCACCGTGAAGGTCTGGGACCAAGACACTGGAGGTAGGGGAGGGTCCTGCCCCCTCGGGTACCTGACCCTGGGGAACAGACTGCTTCCTTCGGGTCTGTCTGCCCATGGTGATGGGCACGATGAAGCCTGAAACCTCTGGGTCTTACGGGAATGCAGCTGCAGGGCAGGGTGGAGACAGACCCAGAGCAACCGGTGCTGCCACAGGGCTTCTGTCGGCCCCCGGCCAAGGCGGGTGTTTGGGTGCCTGACCCTGGGAACAACGGGTGTCTCCTGGGCTCAAAGGAAGCAACGACAAGGAGGCTTTTAAAGATCTGTCCAGGTTCAGCAATGAAAGGACAAAGGATAAAAATCCAAAAGAACACAGGAACCCCAGGGCTTTCCACAGATAGGAGGGGAAAGTTGTGGAGAACAGCAGTTGTGCTGGAGGATCGAGGGCTCGTCAGCTGCTGCCCTCACTTGGAGCATCCTCTTGAAGGGGATCCGGGGCGTTTGGGGTTAACCCTGCTTGCTGGAGAAGGGGAGGGCTGGACACAAGGGCTGTTACCTGCCCAGCCCTGCCACAGCAGCACAGTCTCCTCAGTAACTAAGCCAGAGCCCTCTGGGGAATCTGCGCAGGTTCCCAGAGCGCCCTGAACACACAAAATCAAAAATCATCCCCGTGAGACACTCCCCAGGGCCGAGCACCTCCGAAGCACACCGAGGGTGAAAACAGAAACCTGATGGGCCCCCCGAGAGAAGCTCTCACCTTGTTCTGCTCCCCTCTTCCTCCCCCCTGGTCTGCGGGGTTGGCAGCAGCTGGGTTTGATCCTGGTGCCGTCCCAACCGGGTGACCCCCGCAGCCGTTGGCGCCAGTACCGGTGCTTTTGGAAGGGTTTAAGTCACCACGGGTGGCCTCTGCGTCCGTGTGGAAGGCGGCTGTTGGCAGCCCAGCGTGGGGTGGGTGTCTCTGCACAAAAGCTGCCTCGGGGGGTTTGACACCACCAGGAGGCTGATGGCTACGGTAGGTCTTATTTCGCGTTCCCTTTTGGAGGCTTATCGAAACTGCAGGGGGAGTGTAGCACAGACCATAGGAACATTTTTTCTGGGCCGTGAGCAATTTTGGAGAACAGGCGTGTTGGGAATGCCTCCGTGCCAGCCCTGCAGCTCTGTCCCGCGGGG